ACCAACGGGGTCAAGAATAGTCAGACATGACTGAAAACAACTGAACAACAATCATTACCAGTGCTAGGCACAGAGAGGCCTACAGAGGCAAGGAGATAATGAAATTTGATAGATTTCAAGGGACTCCTTCAAAGAAGATACTAGTTCATTTTTGGCTCTATATTCCCAGCATGGTGCTTAGCACTTAATAAATGCTTGTTGATTTATTGATTGAAGAAGAGACAGGAAATTTTGCATGAGAATAAATGGGACTAGCCTATTCTAAAGAATCAGTGTGGTCCAGAGAGGTGAAAGAGTACTGATTCTGATGTCAGAAGTCCTGGACAAACTGGATGCATACCTTGGTCAAATCATTCCCCTCTCTGAGTCTGTTTCTCCCTCTGTAAAATGGGGATTATATATGTATATATGTACCTATGCACATATATACATATACAGATACTATATATACATACATACATATATATACACACATACATATATATGTATGTATATGTATATGTATATGTATATGTATATGTATATGTATATGTATGTGTATGTGTATGTGTATGTGTATGTGTATGTGTATGTGTATGTATATGTATATGTATATGTATATGTATATGTATATGTATATGTATAGTATATGTATATGTATATGTATATGTATACGTATATGTATATGTATATGTGTATGTATATGTATATGTATAGATAGATAGATAGATAGTGTTGCAATTCCTACATTGCAGGGAGGTCAGGAGAAAAGCCTTTTGTAAACCTAGATATGTGAGCTACCATTACAATCCAGGACAGTCACTGAAATTGAGTTTGATGGCCCTGAGTAACCAAGGAAAAGTAGAAGCAATTCAGTAGGGGCAGCCTGATGCCAGGGATAGTGCCAACATGGATTCAAATCCTGCCTCGGGCACTTTCTAGCTGTGTGGCCCTGCAGGCAAGTTATTTAACATTGAATCTGACTGAGTAGTGTCCAGTGGAGACCACAGCGAGTTGGCCCACTGGGAGCAGCCTGGGCCAACCGAATGACATTATTAGAAGACATCAGTGGCCTTCAGCACTAGAGATATGGCTGGGGGTGCATGCTTAGCAGCCACAGCTACTGCAGACCCAGAAAATAAACTTCTCAACACCAAAGTCCTTGGCGCTGTCAAACAGTTCAACGTCAGAGATGAGTATGATTTTATCGGTAAAAATTACATTAGAGATGAAGCATTATCACTTGCTTTGCTGCAGCATCCTAAGGACCATGGGACCTTTGCCTCTGACTTGAAACTGCAACTTCCTATAGATGTTATCTCCCCACATAGAATCAGAGCTCACTGAGATCAGGGAAGGTCTTTTTTTCACCTTCTGTTCGCATCCCCTACACTTAACACAGTACTTTGCATCTGGTAAGCACTTTTCATTAATAGTAAACCTTTTCATTAATTCAGTTCAGTTTCCTTATCTGTAAAATAGGGTTTTATGAGGCTCAGATGTGGTCACATATCCATGGTGCTTTGTTAAGTAATTTACATAGATATACAAAATCCCTTCCTGCTCTAAATATGGGCTCCCAAAGCCCCCAGGATGTTATCTACTTCCCTGTGTCTATTCGGGTAAACTTTACTAACTGCTTTCTCCGACCTCTCAGTCTGGTATCCTCCTTCCCTACTTTCTCACCCCAGGAGCCTGGGATTGGGGATTGGAAGTGAAAGGACCTCACGTCCCATTGTGTAATGGCATCCTCCCCTGGCCTGGCAGATTTACAGAAATACTGTGGGCTTCTCCATGGAAACTGTTCAGGCCTCCGTGGTGAGTGTGAGGGAGGAGGAAGGAGTCTGCTGGGGAAGAGAGCCCAGGCCCCAGCTCAGAACCTGGAAGGCTCCAATTTAGGGGCAAAGCCTAGGCAGACAGATGCCCTTGGTCAAATGAATGGGATCCTGGAAAATCCATCATACCAGGGCGGGAATCAGCTGGTCCATCCGCAGGGTTCAGAGCCTACCCCAATGCCAATACCCCTCACCTCCCATGATCAGAGAGAGATGAACAGATAGCCTCCAAATTCAGCTTCCCAGAACCCCGCTCCAAAAAAAATCTAATTCTAGTGCTGTATTTGTTTGTATTTGCTAGGTGGTACAGTGAATAGAGCGCAAGGCCTGGAGTCAGGAAGATTCATCTTCATGAGTTCAAATATGGCTTCAGACACTTACTAGCTGTGTGATCCTGGGTAAGTCACTTAACCCTATTGCCTCAGCTCTTCAACTATAAAATGAGCTGGATAAGGAAATGGCAAACCACTCCTGTATCTTTGCCAAGAAAACTCTAAATGGGGTCACAAAGAGTCAGACACTGACTCACTGAAACAAATGAATAACCACAATACGTATACGTATATACCTGCATGTGCATTGAGACAGTATGTGCTTATATGTACGTATAGCTAGGTCTGGGTGTGTAAATAGCTATGGGTTTACATGACTGTGTTTTAGTATGCCCATGACTACATATTGACATGCATGTTTATCCATGAATGTGTCTTTGTTTATGTGATTATATTTATGTGTGTGACTGTGTATATTATGGGGAAGTGTCCATGTGGGTACGTGAGAGAGACTATGTAATTTTATATATGATCACATATCTACATACATGTATGTATATGCCTATGTGAATAAGAATGTGTAAATGTGACTGTCTCATTCATGAACCTATACCTCTGTGACCATGTCCTATGCATATGATAATAAATAAGAGACCATTACATTTCAATAGTTCTTCTCGGTCTGTGCAGTGCTACACAAAGATTTACAAAGTGTGTCTAAGATGTTTATTTTTGTAAGTTTATGTCATGGGGGACAGACTTGACTCTGAGAGGTCCCTAGGTCATTGAAGACCTAGGGACCAGAGCTGGAAGTGAGCCCAGAACATAAATTTATGCCCTGGATGACTTTAAGCAGAAAGGAAAAAGGCCCTTTAGCCTACAACTTTCAACTCTTAATTCCTCAGGAACCTCAGAGATGGGTTGGGACCAGTTCAGGTCGTATTATTAGCCCAGAGACCAGAGTTTCCACAACCTCTCCCTCAACCTTCCATCCAGCTTTCTGGCATGTACCCCCCCACTCCCTCTCACCAACGATGGAAGGTCGAGGGTGGGGGAGGGAGGAGGGATGGTAAGGACCAGCTAACAGTGGTTTCCAGCTTGGCAGCTGTAGCCATGGTGATCCAAACAAAAGCTACTCAAGGCCTGGGCCTCCCTGGTTTTCCCTCTTCAGGGAAGAGAAATTCCAGGCCCCAGGAGCCAGCTCACCAGACAAAAGGGGGAGGGGGATGGGGGGAGTCAACTTTGCTTCAAAGTTTGAATGCTTTTCTGAAGAGAAAAGAAGCCCTTAATGGACAGGGGCCTTGTCAAGGGGCTCCAATCAAGCTCCAGACCTAGATGGGGGATAGGAAGGACAAATATAGTTTTCACTGGGAGGAATGGGGGGAAGGAGGGATTGAGTGCCTAGGATAGTATCTATGACTCTATGTGTGATTATGTGAAATTATGTCGGAGTGTGAACATGACATACATGTGTCTGTATGACAGTGTACAGCCACTTAAGAGACAGTATGTGATTACTATTGTGTGGTTGGGTATGAGCGTGTGATTCATGATAAAGGGAACTGGACAGAGGCCCCCTGAGTTCCACGTAACTACGATCTCCACAATATTTCTGAGTATCCACCCCACCTCCCAGGACACACGGAGCTTCCCAGGATTCCCCCCCCCATACACAGCTTCATCCTCATCCTGGGACACTTCCCCTACCCTAGGCCTCTTCAAAGATTTCCATCTTTCCTTTTCCAAGACTAGGGGAAAGAAAGGAAAAAAATGTTTTCTCTTTCCCTTTTTCAGAGGACTGTGGAGCCCAGGAGATAGAGCACCTCCTCCCTCCATCAACTTGTCTCAGCACACAACACCCAACAATGTATACTATGCTGAACACCCCACAGCTTGGACCGCTTATCTTACATCTCACATCCTATACAACAGCCTCCAAGTAAGGCCCTGAGAGAACACCTAATATACATATGTGGCTCACAGTCACATACACCAAAACTTGTTCTCCTCTCCACTTTAACCCAATCTACACACACACACACACACACACACACACACACACACACACACACACACACACATTAAAGAGTGATGTGCTGAAAACGACACTGGACTTGCAGTTCAGGAAGAATTTTGTTCACATCTCACCTCAGACACACTAGCTATATGACCCTAGGTAAACCATTTAATCTCTAGGCCTCAGATTCTTCATCTGTAAAATGAGGAAGTTCAACTGAATGGCCTCTGAGGTCCTTATTGCACATGAAGCCCACAACTTACCACACTACACAACATCTCACAATTCATCTGCAAATAACACTCCAACTTGTGCCACATATAGCCCCCCAACTCACACAACCACAATCGCCGCATGCCCCACCACCTAGGCTGCCCCACAAGTCGAGATCAAACACAATACCTCACAGAGGATCTGCCCACCCCCCACCACTCAAAGCAGCACACAGCCCTCACCCCACAGATAGATAGACAGATCACATACCGTCTATTCACAGTTCCCTCCCCTCACCTCCCTACACCCCCACATCCACACAGGACAGCTGAATTCACCCCAGTACACTTAATAGTCTCGAAGTGCACTTAACCCCCTCCCTTCACCCTATTTCCAACTCATACTCAATAGGGCAGCTCACATCTCCAGCAGGGCACAGAGAGCCCTCTAACTCAGTCCAAAACACAACAGCCACTCAGGTAACCAGGGTAAGGGGGACCTCCCCATCCCACCCCATCCTACTCCTTCCACTATCCCTCAGCCCAGCCTCCAGCAGGATCCCCTATTCCACCTCCGCCGGTGCTTCCAGTAGAAGTAGGTGCCTGTACTGGACACAAGTCTAGACACCCCTCCCGTACCGCACTGTACCCGGTCACCGCCTGAGCCCATGAAGCCACAACTCACCCGAGGGTTCCCGCGACAGCTCCTGGGGCAGAGTCTGGGACAGCGACAGGGGCAGTGACAGGGGCAGGGGCAACAGAAAGAGCAGGAGCAGGAATAGGAGAAGGGATCGGGAGCGGGGATCAGACCGCTCCAACTCCATCACCTGGCTGGGCTGGGGCGCTGGGGCGCTGGGGCTGGGGGCTGCTCCTGGTGGCTGGCGGGGCCCCGCATGGTTTGGGCTCCCGGGCCCTCGTCCCTTCCCCCTCTCTGCCTTCCCTCCCTCTTCCCGTCCCTTCTTATCCCCTCCCCCCTTCTCTCCCCTCCCCCTCCCTTTCCTCCTTTCCCCCTTCCCCTCCCCTCCTCTCCTGTCCTAACCTCACCACCACCCCCTTCCCGCCCCTTTCGGAGAATAGACCGGCACTAATTCAGTGGACGTTGTCCCAGCCCCTCTGCAGCTAAACCCTCGATGGAGGGAAGAGAGGAGAAAGATAGAGACCCAGGCCAGCCCGGGCTCTGGGGGAGGGGAAGGGGAAGGAGAAGAGCATCGAGAGACAAGGAGGGTGTGCAGGGGAAGGCTCTTCCCAAATCTCTCTACTCTTAGAGACAAACTTCTAAGGCTCGTGAGGTGGGAGCCCAGGTAGAGCAGCACTCTCTTCCTCAAAAAACAAAAGGGCTAACAGATCTTCATTCCAGGGGCTCAGGCCTCCTAAGGGAGAAAAGCTGCCTTCTCCCTTCCCTCTGGAACCCTGACTCCAGAACTCCAAGTTCTGCCTGTGAGTGTCTTCTATCTCTCTGTCTCCGAATGAAGGTTTAAATCTGAGTATGAACCCTCCAAGTCACTGTCTCTCCATCCCTCAGTTCAGGACCCCCTTCGATTCAATTCCATTGAGGCCAACATTCATTTATTAACGGTTCCTACAGAGCCAGGCTTGTGCTTGGCCTGGGAAATCAAAGAGCCCTGGCCCTCCCCAAGCACAAAATCTTGCGGAAGGATTATAGGATTGAGAATAAGAAGGGCCACTTAGAACAGGAGTTCTTAAAACCTTTTTGTGTCATGGACCCCTTTGTCAGTCTGGTGAAGCCCAGGGACTATTCTCAGAATAGTATATGTGTTTTTAAAATTCAAAATGAAAGGAAGTGCTAAATTACATTTAGAGATCAGTGAAAATAAAGATGAAATTTTTTTCTATCGGTGTTAATAGCTACATTGAAATCTAGCTTCGGGGTCCATGGACTCCAGGTTAAGAACCCTTGATCTAATGTAACCTCCTCATCTTATGTAGAAGGAAACAGGTCCAGAAAAAAGGCTACAAATAACTACTGAACTAAAATAGTCTATGAATACCTAGGTGAAGAGCTACCAGTCAAATGCTATGAAGTGTCCAAGGAAGGAAACATTCCCTATTAGAGAAAATTCACAAGTGGCAAAGAAAAAAAAACCCAACCTACCCACAGGATGGAGTTAGAAGGGACTTTAGAGCTCACCTAGTTTAATCTCCTTATCCCTTCCCCTCAACTCCTCTCCAGCGTCTTTCCTCCCCACCCCTCCACTTTCATGGAGGAGGAAACTAAGGCACAGAACAGGGAAGAGATTTGCCCAAGGTCACACAGATACTAAGTGACCAAGCTGGGACTTAAACCTAGATCTTCTTACTCTGAAACCAGTGTTCTTTAGCCTATACCAGGAGGTGGCCTGGGAGTGGGGCCTTGAAGAATGGGGGGTGGGGAGAGAGGAGCAAGAATTCCAGAGACTTGTAGGCAGACAAGCATAAAAGGTGGCCACCCACACAGTATTTGTCATTCACTGACACTTGCCATGAGTTGTCTTATGTCCTAAGTTCTTTTCCTCAGGTGTGTCTCTCCCCTTCCCAACTAGGCCAGTTGCTTCTGGAACCCTGTCTCTAACCTATGTTACCCTCCCCACCTCAAACTAGTTCTGAATGAAAGCAGGAAAGGGAATGGGAGGGTGGGCATATGCCAGCCTTTAGAGATGCTGCTTGTAGAAGACAGTGAGCCCCAAGGCTTAGTGGTGGGGAGGGGGAAACAGGAGTTGAGGTGCCAGAGACAATAAAGGCCAGGGTGCTGACCCTCTCTTCTGGGTCCCAGTCCTAGTGCTGGGGCATATTCTGAGGGTTAAGGGAAGGCCTCAGAGCACCTGGGTTCAAATCCAGCCTCTGATACTACTTGTGGGACTAAGGAAAACTAAGCCTCAGTTTTACTCATCTGAAAAATGAGGGGGTCGGACAAAATCACCTCTGAGGTCTGCTCCAGCTTTAGGACAATAGAGCTAGGATCTGTCCTAGATTGGAGAGGCCAAATGGTCTAGTCAAAAGCTTTCTGGGCTCTGCCACTGATTCAATAAGCAGTGGCGGGCAAGTTACCTGACCTTCCTGAGTGTCAGTCTCCTCATTTGTAAAATAGGTATAACTGTATGCCTGTGAAGCCTGGACAGTATACCAGCACCATGCCAGGAAACTGAATTGCTTCCATTTAAATTGTCTTAGGAAGATTCTGAAGATCACCTGGCAGGGTAAGACACCAGACACTGAGGTCCTTTCTTGAATTAAACTGTCAAGCATTCAGACTCTACTACAAAGAGTGCAACTCTGATAGGCTAGCCATGTTGTTCGAATGCAAAACATGAACGCTAGACAAAAATATCATTTTATGGAGAACTCACACAGGGCAAGCCTTCATATGGTGGTCAGAAAAAGTGACACAAGGACACTCTCAAGGTCTCTGTTAAGACCTTTGGAATTGATTGAATTCATTGTATGTCATGGGAGACAGTGGCACAGGACTGCCCAGCAAGACATGCCTACATCAGAAAAGGTTCTGTGCTCTATGAGCAAAGCAGAATTGAAACGGCTCAAAGGAAATGCAGGATGCACAAATTAAGAGAATCCACCCCAAATGTTCACTTGAACTCTTTGTGTCCGACCTGTGGGAGAGCATTCCGAGCTCGTATTGGTCTGATGAGCCACAGTCGGACACACTGAAACCTGACTCTAGTCTAGTGATGTCATTTTGGTCCTCTTGGAGAACAAAGGACAACAGCCATAATAGCAGTCATATTATCTATCGGGGTGGGGGTGGGGGTGTTGGGAGACTTATTTCAACAAACATTTATCAAGGATCTATTGTGTGCAGAGCACGATGCTATACTAGGCTAAACTGAGAAGATACCAGATTTAGATAAGACTGGCCCCCTGGAGCTCCCAATTTAGCTGAGGATAATTCACAAACACAGATAATTGTACCATAGCACTTCCAAGCTCCTTAATTTCATTTGTCTGAGTCTGAAGATCAGCAGTCTTCTAGAACTCAGCTGGTGGTCTTCCAGAGCTTATGTGATCAGAAAAATTAATCTCCTGTCCCCAATGCGGGAGAAAATGAGCCTCAGACAACAGTCTGCCACCCAACTGTACCTGAAGCCTTTGCCAGGTTGGTAGCACCTGCTGGGTGAAGCTTGTCCTCCAATGGCATGGCTTCTGAGGGCCTGAAGTGACTGCCAAGCCCTAATGAGGAATGAGAGGAAGACATTCGTGAAATACAATAACATATGGAATTAAGGGTGTTTCTTTCCTGGAGAAGAGAAGCAGGGAGGGGGTGTATGTGGGTAGGAAGACATGAAAAGCTCTTGTGTGGAGAAGGGATTAGGTGTGCTCTGTTTGGCCTTAAAAGACAGAAGTAGGAACAATGGATGGGTGCTACAGAGAGAGAAATTTAGATATGCTATCAGGAAAAACTGCTAACCTTTAGAGTTGTCCAAAAGTGGAGTGGGCTTGACTTGGGAGGCAAGGGAGAAAGGGATTGAGGGGGAGGGAGAAAAGGGAGAGGGCTTCCCATCAACATCATTCTTTAAGAAATGAGTAGATAAGCATTTGTCCCCTATGTTGTCAAGGTGATTCTTGCCCAGATATGGCTTGGATCAGATGATCTGTTTTATTTTTGTATCCCTAATACGTTGCCTTACACACAGGGAGAGGGAGGAGGACTACCTTTGTGATGTTCCTAGAATGGGGAACTGCTAGGTTAGAAACTCCTTTACCAATGCTGCAGCACCTTCTCTTTGCCTTAGAATCTTGGAGAGCGGCCTAGGACATTGGGGTGTTAAGTGGCTTGTCCAGCACATGTCAGGAGAAGGTACTCTGAGGCCAGCAGTCTCATCACCAGGCCACTGATGCCTCTGTCTTGTATATAGTAGCTACTTAATAAATGCTTGTTGAAATGAATTGAGATCATTGGCAGAGGAAATACTGAAGGATGGATGCTCAAATTCTCCAGAAAAGCAGAAGATACCAGCAGTTTTGGGGTGGGTGGAGTGAATCACGGACTGTATTACTACTTTCAAGAAAAGGAGAGAGACCACTACATCTAATGACCTTCATACCTACTTTTGCAGGTCTTTAAGAGAATCACTTTTTCCTCTGGATGCTCTCAAAGTCCTTCTTAGAATGGGATTGCCAGAACAGAAAACAGTTCTACAGGTGTGGCTTGGGCAAGGATCTGTTTCTGCTTCCTTACGCCTGGAATCTATGCCTCTCTTAATGCACCTCCAATAGCAAGTTAGCCTATTTAGCGGGTAGGGAAGGGAATAAGCATTTATTAAACACCTACCATGTGCCAGGCACTGTGCTAAGTGCTTTGCAAATATTATCAAATATTTTACAAATATTATTATAAATATTAGCCGATTATCACATTTTTTACTCCTATCGCATATACAGACCACTAAAACATGTAGATCTTTTTAAGACAAACTCTTATCCAACCATACTTTCCTTGTCTTGTCCTTGTGAAGTTGATTTTTTTAAAAATAAAAGTGCAACTGCATTTATCCCTTTTAATTTCATCCTCAGACCAAGGTTCTTGCCCATCAGGACCCTTTTAGATCCTGATTTCTCATCTACTCCTAGATTCTAGGTGTGGTAGCTATCCCTCTAAATTCGATAATGTGTAGCTGCTTCACAGGGTTATTGTAGGCAACAAGGAAGGATTTTTGCAAACAATATTCTCCAGCAGGCTGCACCTTCCCAGGCACACAATTGATCCAACATTGCACAATCTCCCAAGCAAAACCCACAACTGCTGAAACTACCCCGCAAGAAAAAACTGATGGATGAAGAGTGATTATTGTCCTTACTACAATCTGTATTTGGATGGATGGTCTATCAATGCATTGCCAACAGACAATGAGCTGGGGTAGGCCCAGAATTAAATAGTTGGAAG